CCGAGGGGCAAGACCCCCAAGGCCACTGAACACTACCCCCCTCTCCCCATGGATCCCATCCCTGCAGGATGATCCCGGGGGGATCAGGGGAGGGGAAGCAGCAACACTACGACCCCCAACAAACACTAAGCCAGCCCTGCAGGGCAGGGGCTGAGCCCAGCCTGGGGGGCTGAGCCATTCCAGGGGCTCTGAGCCATCCCTGGGGCTCTGAGCCATCCCTGGGGTTCTGAGCCCTTCCAGGGGCTCTGAGCCATTCCAGGGGCTCTGAGCTATTCCAGGGATGCTGAGCCCTTCCAGGGGCTCTGAGCCATCCCTGGGGCTCTGATCCCCCCCTACCCACCCTGCAGGGACAGCAGGGATGTCCCATCCTGCTCCAAGCCCCCTCCTCCCTGCACAGCCCCACTCCAGAGGGAGAAGCTGCTCCTCCCGCCCAGGATTTGGGGTTGGGGTTTTTTTTTTTGGACCTCAGGCTTTTCCTGCCCCAAATGCCCCGAGTGGGTCAGAGCTGGGGGGTGATTTGGGGGGGGCAGGAGTTAGGGCACAGCCCGGGTTGTGCCCAGGGTGGGGCAGAGCAGGGTGTAGGTTGTGGCTCCTCTCCCCAGGGCTCTGCAGGTCCCTCCCTCCCCATTCCCAGGGATCCCTCAGCACCCCATGGATGGAGCTCCCCTGGTCCTCACGTGCCTTTCCTGTGCCCCCCTGTGCCCACAGTGACCCTCTCTGGGAGGCAACACACCCCTGTGCCCCCAATAACCCTTTTTGGGGGCCCAACACACCCCTGTGCCCCCAATGACTTTCCTGGGGGGGGGCAAAGCACCCCTGTGCCCCCACTGACCCTTTTTGGGGGCCCAACACTCCCCTGTGCCCCCAATGACCTTTTTTGCGGGACAAAGCACCCCATAACCCCAATAACCTTCGGGGGCAGGGGGCAACACACCCCTGTGCCCCCAACGACCCTTTTTGGGGGGCAATGCATCCCTGTGCCCCCAGTGACCCTTTTGGGGGGATCAATGCCCCCCTGTGCCCTCAGTGACCCTTTTTGGGGGCCAACACACCCCTGTGCCCCCAATGACCCTTTTTGGGGGGCAATGCACCCCTGTGCCCCCAGTGACCCTCTCTGGGGCATCAATGCCCCCCTGTGCCCTCAGTGACCCTTTTTCGGGGGCAACACACCCCTGTGCCCCCAGTGACCCTTTTTGGGGGATCAATGCCCCCCTGTGCCTCCACTGACCCTCCCTGTGGGGTCAATGCCCCCCTGTGCCCTGGGTTT